ACAGCCGCGCCTGCACGTAGAGCTGGGGCAGGAGAGAGCGTCAGCGTGGCGCCCGAGTACTCCGTCACGTCGACGCGGCTCTGCCTGGAGCCCGCGGGCCGAGGCCTCGGTGTCCACGAGCCACCCCCGACTGCGGGGACACTGGGGCGGGGAAGGGCGGGCGCCAGCTCCCGGGCGCAGGGCGACTCACCGCCAGGAAGAGCATGCAGTACATCCCGAAGGAGGAGTGTCCGGAGTAGAAGGACAGTCTGCGGGGGCACAGGTCTCGCTCAGCACGCAGCCCACGGCGGGGGGGCCCCAGCCGCCAGCTCAGGGCTTCTTTTGGACATTTGAAAATACTCTGGGGCCAGCAGGTGCTGGCACTGGATCCTACATGGCGGACCGCAGTTCGCGTCCCAGACCTGGACCTGGCGGCTTGAATACATGCTGGGGCCGGCAGGTGGCCTGGTGGTTGGCAGTGCTGGGCTCCCACATGACCAGCCGCGGTTCAAGTCCCAGACCTGGCGGCTTGCTTTCTCACTTTCCCTCTCTTTCTCTCTGTCTTCTCTGATCAAATTTAAACACATAAATACATAGGGTAAAGTTAAATAAAATAATTCTTTTTTAAAAAAGAAAGGCAAACATGCCGGGGCACGTGTACGGGAGTGGCCGCACTCTGAAGAGGGCCGGAGGGGAACCGTGGGGATTCGTGCCCGGGACCCTCACTTCCTCAGGACCACGCCCACACCCTACAGCAAGACTATAAATCGAATCTTTTTTTTTTTTGGAGAGGTTTTCGCTATAGGGCGCATGCGCTCACCAGACAGACAGAAAGAGACACAGAGACAGAAAGCGAGAAATCCCCCCCCAGCGGGGATAGTCACGCCGCAATCCCTTCTCCTCCATTCTCCTCTCGGGATCCTGGGCACACACACGCCCCCGGCGTGAATTTAAGCCACCAGGTCCGGGACGCGAACCACAGTCAACTACATGGGAGTCCAGCAACATAGCCATTACGCTAATCGCTAGTCCCTATTAATAGAATCTTTAGGTAGGGGTGCCTGCCGAGTGAGCTTGGTCCACGTTACGCCACACGAAGGTTTGACCGGCCTCCTTAGGGGATAAGCACATCGCTCAGGCAGAGTGCGGTGCACGGCACAGGTCCTGGGCAGGCAGCAGCCAGCGTGGGCTGGAAACAGACAGACCGCCCCTCCCGTGGCCTCCCTGGGTCTGCTGACCGGGGCCACAGTCACCTCAGGCCTTGCACCCGCCCACACCAGCCTACCAAGCTGCCTGCGCCCCGTGGCCACCTGGGAACCTGTGCCTCGTCCAGCCCCCAGGCTGCAGGGACACCCACCTGGCCTCGGTGACGTCGGCAGGCCTCCCCCTGCACACCTCCAGACGCACGTAGCTGGAGCAGTTGACCCGGCTCCAGTCGGGGTCACAGACGGCCAGGAAGTTGGGCCGCAGGCGGCCGATCATGTACTTCGCCAGGTCAGTAAGCGACTGGCTCACGGCAGCCCCGAACAGGAAGGTTCCCAGCACCTTGTAGACAGCGGCCAGGTAGTTGTTGAAGTGGGAGCGAGAGTAGAGGCGGTTCGTGTATACCAGGTACGCTTCCCCCACCGACACCTGCCAAGGCAGACGGGGGCTGGGCCTCGGGCCTCCCGGGAACGGAGCCCGGGTTCCTGACCTCCCCCCACCTCTCCGGCTTCTCCCGAGGGGCCTTACGAGAGTGACAGTGGCGGTGATGGTGACCCCGGCCATGAGCCCGTGAGTGATGGTGTCCGGACGGTAGGGGTAGCGGATGGAGTCATCGCCACAGTAGAACCCTCGCTTGTACGGGGCGTTCACCAGCGTCAGGATGGCAAAGGGCAGGGCCGCTGCGGTGGGGAGAAGCCCAGGAAGCCACAGCTCGCCCAGCTGCCTGGCCCACGCCAGCCTCCCCACTCCACTGCACCCACAGCTAGGACGGCCGTCCTCAGGCTGGCCCACACAGCCTCGTCGCCCTGCCCACCCTCCTCACCTCTCCCCTCCCTGCACCCCTGGCGCCCCTGCTGCCAGGCAGACCCAGCAAGCAGCCGGTACTTCTCCCCGCCCGAGAAGTTCCCGCTCCACCCCTTCCCACCCCACGGCCCAGCCTGGCACCCTGGAAGGAACCCTGGTCTCTCGGGCACACGGAGCAGGTCGTGCGGCCCTGCGTCCCCTCTGCGGCAGGACAGGGGTCTCCACTCACACCCTGTCCTCTCTACCATCACGCCCAGCCACAAGCCGGCCACACAGTGACCAAGACAGACCCACCCCCAGCCGCAGAGAGCAGAGATTCAGGGGCCCCAAGTCCCGGCTACTTTTTTTCTTTTTTCAGTTTTTTGCTGTGGATATAAGGCGTGTGAGCTTGCTGGAGACAGAGCGTGAGAATCACCCCTGGGGGGCAGCCACACCGCAGTCCCTTCTCCAGTCTCCTCTCAGGACCTTGGGGCATGCACACAGGTACCAGGTGTGCTGCATAAGCCGTCGGCCACGTGGGGTCCAGGGCCTTAACCTCCAGGCCATCACGGCCTGTCATGGCTTCTTTTTTTTTTTTTCCGAGAAGTTTTTGCTATAGGGCGCATTCGCTCACCAGAGAGAGAGAGAGAGAGGGAGAGAGAGGGGGGAGGAAAACAAGATGGCCACGCCACAATCCCTTCTCCTCCATTCTCCTCTCGGGATCTTGGGCATGCATGCACATGTGCCGGCATGAGTTTTAAGATGCCGGGCCTGGGACTCAAACAGCTGGCTAATAATATGGGAGTCCAGCAACATAGCCATTACGCTAACTGCAGATCCCTGACATGGCTGCTTTACAAAAAGGCATCACGGGGTCCCTGCTGGCCGCGGGCTGCTGGGGAGGCAGGAGGCAGCTCCAGAGGAGGTGCGCAGCACAGCCCCAGTCAGCAGCCCGCCAGGGAGAAAGGCCAAGCAGGCACCTTTGCTCAGTGGTGGGTGACAGGTGTGAGGGACAGGGCGGGGGACGACAGGTATAAGGACAAGACGGGGGTGACAGGTGTGAGGGACAGGGCGGGCGACAGGTGTGAGGAACAGGACGGGGGCAACAGGGATGAGGACAGGGCGGGCGACAGGTATAAGGCGTGCACCTTCTGCGTCCTAATGACAGTGCAGGGGCAGAAGTCCAGGGCGCCTTCACCCCGAACTCAAGGGCCCAGGGTGGTGTCCATGGAGCACCCCCTCCAGCCTGGGAGTACCCTGGGACCCGGAGACGAGGGGCGGGCTGCTTCTGCTCCTGCTGGGCCCAGGGAGTGTGGAGCAGAGCCCACGAGGTCAAGGTAGTGGCCCTCACCTCAACCCCGGGCGGGCTCACTTCAGTCCCTGAGAGGCTGGGGAAGCCGCGTTCACAGGCAGAGCCTCCTTGCGGGCATTGCAGCCCACACCACGCAGAACCAGACCCCGCAGCCACCCTCGCGGGCTGGCCCTCTGCCCCACGCCGGCGGAGAGCCAAGGGACTGGGGAAGGCACCTAACTCCCAGTGTCCCTCAGACCCGCGCCGCCCAGGTGAGCTCGCACAGTGGGTCAATGCAGAACGGCCCAGGACCCGCAGAGGCTCCCGCGCACTGGTTCCTGTCGCTGGCCCATCCAAGAGGTCCCCTTTGAGAGGCGGGGACAGCCCAACCTCTCGCCAGGACAGAAACTAGAGGGGTGGGGGTTGCTCTGGCCCCTGCCCTGCCCCCACCCAGGGGTAGAATTCCGGCCCGGCCCAGCCCGGCCGGGCCAGACCCGCTTGGCTTGAGCACACTCGGCCTTTGTTCCGGACCCTGGGAGAGGGGAGGGGAGCCCCACGGCCCCGCCCCCGTGCGCTGCAAACCCGCTGGACAGGTTGGCTCGCCCTGAGGCCCCGTTCAGCACAGCCTGGGCCCAGCCTTCCCCTCAGGTTTCTGCGGAGAGGGCAGAGGGCGCAGGAGCTTCCCCGCCGAAGGAGGGGTTCGAGCCCCACCCATTCGCTGTGTGTCACGAGCCAGGCGCCAGAGTTCTCCGAGCCCAATACCAGGGCCGGGGGTGTAGACATCCTTCAGGGGTGACACCCGCGGCCGCGCCCCCCACCACGGGCCGCCGCCCGAGTGAGCCCGAGTGACTCACCGCGGGCCGGGCCGGGCCGGGCGGGAGGCGCGTGCGTCTCTTCCACCGCGACTTCCTGCTGCCGCGGGTAGGGGGTGGCAGCCCGGAGCCCAGACCTCGAACGACCCGCTAAGGATCCCGAGACGCACGGGAAGCCGGCCTGCGCCGGCGCGGGGACCGGGCGAACCAGGGCCGAGACGGCGCGGGAGGATCTCCTCCCGAGGCCCGGACGCCGCGGCCTCCCCTGCGCCCTGCACGCCTCGGCTCGGAGGGGCCTGCAGGG